TGCACTCCAGCCTGGGTAACAAGAGCGAGACTCCGTCTCAAAAAAAAAAAAAAAAAAAAAAGAAAATAATACTTATATTACTTATCTATAAAAAGAAATGGACTTCTCCCACCAAAGGGGAAGGTGGGGCAGTAGGGGCAGGGAGCTAAAGATACCTCTGGGGGAGCTCCAGCTGGCTAAACTGTAGCCTGCCAGCATGAGAACGTGAAAATCACAGATGCCTGGATTAAGGGGATACTGCCAAGTCCAAAGGGCCTGGAGATGCTGGGAACTACCTATAGAAAGGGCAGAGAGAGGGCTAGGTAGTAAAGCAGCAGCTGGCCAAAGAAGACGGTGAGCCATGAGCAGGAGAAATGCTGTGGAGGTGTAAGCAAAAAGCATATATTTCAGAGGCTGTGATAAAAGTTTTTTAAAAAGAGGTAAGGATTCAACAGCTCCATGACCTTCTGCGTGTGCGTGTGTGCGTGTGTGCGTGTGTGTGTGTGTGCATCTTAGCTACCCAAATCCTTAAGAGAATCCTTTTTTATTTTTTTTTTTGAGACAGAGTCTCGCTATGTCACCCAGGGTGGAGTGCAGTGGTGTGATCTCAGCTCAGTGCAACCTCCGCCTCCTGGGTTCGAGCGATTCTCCTGCCTCTGCCTCCCGAGTAGCTGGGATTACAGACATGCACCACCACACCCCGCTAATTTTTGTATTTTTAGTAGAGACTGGGGTTTCACCACGTTGGCCAGGCTGATTTCGAACTCCTGACCTTAAGTGATCCGCCGGCCTCAGCCTCCCAAAGTGCTGGGATTATAGGCGTGAGCCACCACACCTGGCCAAGAGAATCCCCTTTTACAGTTTTCCATGGCATTATAGACAAGGACTAATGCTGGGCTATGGGTCAAGAAGACAGAAGTCTGAGGAAAGTCAGACCCCACGTCTGCTTGTGAAGCAGCAGAACTAAAAGGGCCCTTGATCATCGAGTCCAGTAATCCTGAAATGGGGTGAGGTAGACAGAGAAAAGGATAACTCCCTGAGTGGAGGAAGATTATGTGAACTGTTTTAGGATACCTCCCTCAGTCCAATTCCCTAGATATCACAAGTCCTTGGTTAAACTTCACTAAATTTTATAATAAAAGTATTACTCACGGGGCATATGGTATATCAAAACAAGGTGAAGGCAAAAAGAAATACAGGTGAGAACCACTGACTTAGTCAAAGCCCTACTGTACAGATATCCAGGAATATCTCAAGGAGACATTAATTCAATGTGTTGACTATCCCATGTATTAGAGTAAGTGGTAATGTGGCCAAGGCAAAAGAGCGTGGAAGGGAGTAGGGAAGAGTAGCAGCCCCAATAAGACTTAAAGCAGAGATAGAGGATCTACTAATTCCTTTTTTTTTTTTTTTTTTCCCCCCTTATAACCAATCCTTTTTTTTTTTTTTTTTTTTTTTTTTGTCTCTCCTCATAACCAATCCTTTTTTTTTTTTTTTTCTGAGACGGAGTCTTGCTCTGTTGCCCAGGCTGGAGTGCAGTGGTGCCACCTCGGCTCACTGCAACCTCCGCCTCCTGGGTTCAAGTGATTCTCCTGCCTCAGTCTCCTGAGTAATGGGATTACAGGCGTGTACCACCATGTCCAGCTAATTTTTGTATTTTTAGTAGAGACGGGGTTTCGCCATGTTGGCCAGGCTGGTCTTGAACTCCTGATCTCAGATGAGGTCAGGTGAGGCCGCCTCAGCCTCCCAAGAAGTGCTGGGATGACAGGCGTGAGCCACTGCGCCCAGCCCTAATTCCTGTTCTTACAGGATTAATGATCGGGCTGTTTTAAGATCCACACCAAAAAACTGGCTGATGCTGATCGATGCTAGAAATTCCCAGGAATATACAGTCTCTCTCAGGTAAATCAGGCTGTATACCCAGCAAAATGTTTTAAAGGGTAAGACAGAAGTACACCGAGGAAAAGACCAGGACTCTGGGTTTAACTTTTGACCTGTTAAATAAAAAGACCTACCCATTGCTCTGAGAAGGGTAAGAATATACAAAATATGGCAGAGACTGCTAGTTGTACCCTGATATTCGTTCTTGTCTTCTGTCATAACAACATGACCTCCAGTTTATAAGTGGTACTTGATAATCCAAAGTAAGAATTACATTTCCCAGTTTTCCTTGCACCTATGACTGTGTTTTCACTAACAGGAGATGAACAGAAACGATGTGTGGCTTTAAAAGATGTGGCTAACCCTGCCCTTCCACATTTCCCTCTTCTACTAGCTGGAATCTAGATGTGATAATAAGCCACCCCTTAGATGTTACCCTCAAACACATGGCCCAGATGGCATACCATCGTGCATCTAATCACTATTATTTTGGGTCTCTACTAATCAAACCTGTAGCCCAATTAAGAAAAGGAATGAAGAAAGGGCAGGGGCAGAATCTAGATGACAACCATCACCACCACCATCATAAAGGTCATCACTAAATCACTCCTGCCGCTTGTCCCTGTTGCCTGGCTACTCACCGGCACGCCATGGGACATGAGAGTGTTGGGATTCATAAGGGTGACAAGTTGGTGCAGGAGGTCAGGCTGGCTATCAAATAGTTCAGGTGTCAGCTTCTTCATCACCTCTTCCAAATGTTCTGCTGCAAGTGAGGGTACCCCATACCAGGTCTTCGGCTCACCCCTGCACAAGTGGAAAAGGGACACACACAGATCACACCTTGGTCATGCAGAGAGCCCACACTGACTGATTCCCTGGCTCCCCAGGGCCCCACTCACCAGTGGAGGTAGTTAATGGAGTAACTCCAGTGATCCTCAATATGCCAGCAAAAGGCTGAGAAGACCATGCCCACGTAGAGCCAGGGCACCTTCATGCCAGAGATATCTGCATTGATGTGGCACAGTACAGACTGTTCCAACACCGGCATCACATTTAGGTTCCAACCACTGGTAGCATACTCCTGCCAGGTCAGGTATTTGTAAAAAGGGCATGAGGGTTATGCTAAGGAACTGAGATCTTAAGTCATTTTCTTTAGCCTAGGGAACCTTAATTTTGAGGTCAGAGACTTTTTTGAAACATCTTAAGAAACATACACGTTTTCTCCCTACCTCTCACACTTTCAATTCTACTCACTTCAATTTCTGGGACGTTCACAGATATATCCACCTACCAAAATACCTGCAAGTTATCTCATATACCTTCTCATTTAATTTTTATAACAAATTTGCAAGGTAGATATTATCCCCATTTTAGAGGTAAGGAAATGGGCTCACAGAGGTGAAAGAACCCATCTCATGTTTGTATATGCCAGGTACTAGATTGTTTTCTTTACATGCCATCATCTCATCTAAATCTCATGGCTACGTAAGGCAGGCATAATTATCCTCGTCTTACAGAGATATTGAGTTTTTCAGATACTAAATGATTTGCCTAAGCTCACACAGCTGACATGTAACCATGAATCATCCACTCACCTCCTCTTCAGGGGTTAGGTGCCGTTTACTGTCACTGACAGGGAAACCGCTGCCAAATTCTTTGGAATGGATGTCAGCTCCATACTCAACAGTCACATCTTCCTCAATGCTATTTACCAGCCTCCAGAACTCCTTCTCCACAAGTTCTGTGGGCACCATCTGGGGGAAGAAGGGTAGCAGATAACCATGGCCCATCACACCCTGAACCCATTGACCCAGGTGAGCTGAGACCGTCTGGCACCAACACCTATGATCCTAGCCCAATACTACCTCAGCCCTCCATCACCTACATGCACGGGCATGTTGAAGTAGTCAGCTTTAAAGGAGTCAGCCATCTCGCCAAAGCTCTGCAGAGTATATTCCCGGGTAGCCTGCTCAAATCCAAAGGCTTCTGGGGGCCGCTTACACTCCTGAAATCCAAAGGAGAACATGTCACCAAAACAGAGGCAAAGAGGTGAAGAATCCTCACAAGTGGAACTGGAATATAGGGAGTAGGGAGGGAGAAGAGCCCTAGGTCAGCAGCACTCACGGCCCTTGAGGCAGGCCTTACCTCAAAGCTGTACCTTTTGCTCTTACCACTTCAGCTTAGTCTTTTCACTCCCCACCATGCTTTTGCTCATAGTTCCTCCCTACTGAAATGTCCTTTCCCACTTTCAATGGTTCTCCAAAACTCAATTCCAGTCTCACAACTTCCAGGGAGTCACCCCATACTCTTTTCTTCCTTTAGGACTTTATTTAAATGTCTCTGGCTTTAACATGCTATCCTATGTTCTTCTGCCACTGTTTTTCCTCTCTAGCTAAAATGTGATTCTATGCAGGGTGCTTAGGGAAGCTTTTTTAAGCCCAGACTAGAACTATAAGGCTGGGAAAATGGCACTGAATATTCTAGTACCTTTACAGATGGAAAATGGGGCCAGGTGTGGTGGCTCACGCCTATGATCCCAGCACTTTGAGAGGCCGAGGCGGGCGGATCACTTGAGGTCAGGAGTTTGAGATCAGCCTGGCCACTATGGTGAAAACCACCTCCCCACCAAAAATACAAAAACTAGCCAGGCATGGTGGCAGTTCCCTGTAATCCCACCTACTCAGGAGACTGAGGCAGGAGAATCACTTGAACCCGGGAGATGGAGGTTGCAGTGAGGAGAGATGGCACCACTGCACTCCAGCCTGGGTGACAAAGACTCTATCTCAAGAAAAAAAGAAAAAAGAAAAGGAAAAGGAAGGCACTGGCTTTTACAGTATCAAACTCTCCACTATTCCTGTTCTTGAGGCTGTCTCAGAAGACAGGATGTGGGTCTACCTCATTTTGTACCTATGTTCATTATTTTAGATGAGAATTATATGTACCCGAAAATCAGACACACACCATGTTCATGTTTGAAAAATAAATGTCAGTCGGCCAGGTGCGATGACTCATGCCTATAATCCTAGCACTTTGGGAGGCCAAGGTGGGTGGATCACCTGAGGTCAGGAGTTCAAGACCAGCCTGGTGAAACTCCATCTCTACTAAAAAATATAAAAATTAGCTGTTCGTGTGCCTGTAATCCCAGCTACTTGGGAGGCTGAGACAAGAGAATTGCTTGACCCCAGGAGGCAGGGGTTGCAGTGTGCCAAGTTCGTGCCACTGTACTCCAGGCCTGGGCGACAGAGCGAGACTCTGTTACCAGAAAAAAAAAGAAAAAGAAAAAGAAAAAGAAATGTCAGTCTGGTTCACTGACTTATAACCACTTAGAGAAGAGAGTCAAGTAGAGCCGACAGTCTTGACACTGTTGGTATCCGAACTCCTCCCCAAGTAGAATCTCCACCACTACCAAGGCCAATATGCACTACCCTGGATTTTCCGTGTGTGTGTGTGTGTGTGTGTGTGTGTGTGTGTGTATTCACGTACACACCCAGTCTCCACAACCACAGTTGAGTCCCTAAGATAACGCAAGAGATCATGAATGTCTCCTCTCCAGAAATCCAGAAGGAAATGTAGAAGATAAGCACCAAGAATTTGGGTGAAGGTCGGACATTCACGAAATGTACCTGCCCAACTTCCTGGCCACTTGGCCCTTACTGCTGCTTCAGCTGCTCTCCTTACTGCCCCTATACCCATACTAGGCCTGCTCTCCCACTATACCTCTGCTCCTGCTAGTTCTCCACCTCCCAGTCCCAAACAGCTACCCACCTCATCTAGTTAAAGCCTGTAGCACTGCCTCAACCTAAACATCACAAGAGGAAAACAACTAAATATTATACCCATGATACACTGTCTAAAAAAAATTCCAGGCTGGGCGCGGTGGCTCAAGCCTGTAATCCCAGCACTTTGGGAGGCCGAGGCGGGTGGATCACAAGGTCAAGAGATCGAGACCATCCTGGTCAACATGGTGAAACCCCGTCTCTACTAAAACTACAAAAATTAGCTGGGCATGGTGGTGCATGCCTGTAATCCCAGCTACTCAGGAGGCTGAGGCAGGAGAATTGCCTGAACCCAGGAGGCGGAGGTTGCGGTGAGCCGAGATCGCGCCATTGCACTCCAGCCTGGGTAACAAGAGTGAAACTCCGTCTCAAAAAAAAAAAAAAAAAAAAAAAAAAATTCCATACCTTAAATAATATAGAGAAAGTTATAAAGTAACAAATGAAAATGTATTACAAGATCATAAATTTGTTGAAGATGGTTACATATAATTAACAGCAAAAAGATGAGACAAAAATATACCAGACTATTAACAATGGTTATCACTGGGTGGTGGGAAAACAAGTAATTTGTCTATTTTCCAAAATTTCCTTTTTTTTTTTTTGAGACAGGGTCCCACTTTGTTGCCCAGGCTGGAGTACAGTGGCATGATCACAGCTCAATGCGCAACCTCCGCCTCCTGGGCTCAAGCAATCTTCCCACCTCTGCCTCCCAAGTAGCTGGGACAAGAGGCATGCGCCACCATGCCTGGCTAATTTTTATATCTTTTTTGGTAGAGATGGGGTTTCGCCATGTTGCCCAGGCTGCTCTCGAACTTCTGGGCTCAAACGATCCACCCACCTCAGTCTCCCAAACTGCTAGGATTACAGGCATGAACCACCATGCCTGGCCTCAAACTTTCTAAAAAAGAAAACAAAGAATAAAAACTCAGAAATTGAAAGAACATTTTTTTCTTAATATTCCTATCCTTCAAATCTCATTTCTGACATCTTCCCTGATTACGTTTTCCTCTTCTCTGAACTTCTGTGTCTCAGAGCTTCTAATACACAATTTAGCCTCTGTTTATGTCACCACATACAGTCCAATTGTGATGCTTACCTCTCCAGGTAGTCTGGGAGCTCTTAGAAGACAGAAGCAAAGGCTGAATTTCTTGCTCCTTTCTCCCAAAACTCTGCCCAGCCTAATCCCACCAGAGAGACCCAAAATCTAAGACTATGGCTGAGCTAACAGGCTGCCCTCAATAAGGCCAGATGAAGGAAGGCAAGGAAACCCTATGAGGTAGATGTGGAGTGGGGAGGCCTTACCGCCATGACACACTTTGGGCACCGCCAAACACCCTTGGGGATCTCAGGCAGAGGAGGCAGCAGGCAGAAGATGTGGTAGTTGTCATCACAGCCATCACACAGCAGGAGCTTGTCATCCTCATCCCCTCGGGAACACATCCGGCAAACATATGACTCAATCTGTCAGGGGAGGAAAGCAAAAGTTCTCCATTGGAAATCCACTGTGTTTGCTGGCTGAATGATTCACAGCCCTATACGGGCTAGTCATGCTAGGTCTGGAGTTCAACTGCATGTATGTACCATCTCCCCAACTAAGCAGGTAGAGCTGTGAGAGCAGTCTTTTATCATCCAGTCTTGAAGCCTCCCATTTTTATTCATTCAATGAACACTTACTAAACTTGTGTTTAGTACCTACGCTTGGACTCTAGCATAAAGACAAGTAAGACATGGTATCCTTCCCAGTATACACAGTACTCTAGAGACATGTGTTCGTAAAAATTAAAAACTGCCAATAGCTGTCCATAAAGGGCACTATGGGGGCCTAGAGAAGAAAGCACTCAAAGAAGCTGGAGATAAGGAGAGATGTCACTTCATTGAAAAGGTGACACTTGAAATTGGCTGAAACCTGAAGGCAAAACAAAACTTTGCAACAGGGCAAAGCACTGGGGGAATCTCTTCTAGGCTGAAGAAACAACACATGTAAAGGACAGGGATGAAAAAGCATAATGCATTTTGTGGGGGAAAATGAACATACCTACAAGTAGTTCAGTGTGGCTATAGCAGGAGTGAGGTGGGCAGTGCTGGGGGATGAGGCTAGAGGTCAGCAGGGACGGGCTCATGCATGGTAATAAGGAGCTTAGCCTTTATCCTGAAGCAATAGGGAGTGACACTCCTTCTCTGGACCCTTCCAGCACTTCATGTTGACAGCACTTGATCACCCTTTCTTGTTCTTTGTTCCATGTGGGTTGGCCTCGTTTCCCCAATTAAGTGAGCTACCTGAGGGCAGGGCCACGAAGCCCACTTTTGTGGTTAATGTGAACTAGTCCAGTGCCATGCAGGGAAATGCTTATTGAAGAAATAAGAAGCAGAGCATTAAGTCAGGGCTGGGTCCTTACAAACTGGGCATTGCTGTGATTCCTCCGCAGCCTCATAGTCATCTTGGTGCAGGGTTCTGGGCTGTGACTCAGCTCCTCCTTGCTCTCCAGGAAGGACTTAGGCGAAGTTGAGTCCTTCATATCCCCACCTAACTCCTCCTTTACCACTACTGTGGGGGGACACTCAGGCCCCTCCTTATCTGGGAGAGAGAAAAATGGCTGTAAACACAGGTCTAGGACACTTAGGGCCCTGACTTCTCTCCCCAGGTCAGGCCACCTAGGCCAGTTAGGCCTTACCTTTCTTCCGCAGAGTCTTATCCTTGGCCATGAGGCCCAGGCCCATCATCTTGGGGCCTGCCCCATAGATCTGTAGCTTTTTCAGCTCTGGATTCTTTTCAATGTCTTCCTCTGTGGGTTCCGGCTGGAAGGACAGAAGGAAATGAATCAAGACTGCTATCTGGGACAGACTGTCCCATCCTAAAAGAACAATAACCCAGACTACATATCACCCGATCTCATGCTGGGGGCTGAGGCACAGATAGGCTAAGCTAAGAACTCAGAGTTGCTTTTTGGAGACTGAGGGTAGGTGAGCTGCCTCCTTGGACCTCTCTTGGAAAGGAATTAAAGACGGAATATCTCAGTTTTCCCAACTATAAAATGAGAATATTAACTCCTCCCTTACAGTTATAAGGGGGATTAGGGATAATATATATGAAAAAGCTAACAGTGTTTGGCATTACCAACAAACGGCAGTGACTAATAGGATCTGCTAAACTACATGCTTCAATGAGCATAGAGACAGTGTCCATCTTGTTCTCTGTTGTATTCCCAGTGCCAAGAAGAATGTCTGGCACATAAGCTTCTTTCTGAAGTAAGACATAGCTATAAGGAGCTGGGAACAGTGGTACATGCCTCTAGTCGTAGCTACTCAAGAGGCTGAGGCAAGAGGATCACTCAAGCCTAGGAGTTCAAGATTACAGTGCACTATGATCAAGTCCGTCAATAGCCACTGTACTCCAGCCTGGGCAACATAGCAAGACCCTATGTCTCAAAACAAAACAAAAGATACAGGTATAAGGAGAAAGAAGAGTTCTACTTCTATGATCAGAGTAAGTCCAGAAAGGAAAAAGACAGGCAAGAAGAGCAGACATACAAAAGAGGTTGCACAAACAGATCAAGCAAGACCCAGCTCAGCAGCTCTGCTGAGAGGGGAGAAAAAAGCAAGAGTAAAGCCAGAGAGAGGCACACTAACGGTCAGAAGAACTCGGAGAACAAAAGAAGGGATAGTGGAACAGGGAACATAGTCTTAGCCAGAGGGAAGGAGAGGACTCCCTCCACCCCAAAGCTCTAAGTTCAAAGAAGGGGAGTACTCACATCAGGCTGCAGTCTCTTGGCCCGCCGGCCATAGCTGTTGAACTTGGAAGGTTGCACAGACTGTCGTAGGGGGATGCTGTGGGGTTTGTATTCCTTGTCCTTCTCCTCATTATCAAATGGACGTGTGTTACATTGCTGGGGACAGATGAGGGGTAATGGTCAGGACATGGGACTACAGCCCACAAAAGCAAGAACTTCCCTCTACCCTCACCCAATGGCAACCAAAGTTGCGGTCCACTCACCTGACCCACACCAATAGCTCCTGTTCCACTTTAGCACTGACACCCGCACACACTTTGGGAAATCTCAGTGCCTCTGCTTGTTTCATTCCTCCTTCTAGTCACTTCCTCCACCAACCGTCTCCCCAACTAAATCAAGACACCATCTCTTCCCATACCTTTCTAGCCCAAGCTCTCCCTTCTCTGATTTTTCTATCAGTTAGAACTCTGTCATATAACAAATAAGCTAGCCCTACAGATAACTCCAGGACTTCTGACCCTGAGCAGTGAGAAAGAGAATAAGCGTCACTAGGAAAGAGCAGAGTCCAACTGCCAGGTCTCCAGTCCACTAAACCAGTTCCATTAAGATCAAGTGTGGAAATTTGTGCTGAAGGGTAAAGTCGCATCCTACCCCACTGTGACATCCTTACCACAAGGTTGGCTCCAGACTGGTACATTTCATAGGGATAAACGATGCGTTCATAGTGGGAGCGTAGCAAGGAGCCAATATTTTTGCCTGGTGGGTAGTTGAGGCGCTGGGCTACCCGGGCCCACCGACGGTCCTTGCAGATAGCTTCATAACCACCTTCCTCCACCACAATCTGCAAAAACAAGCAGGAAAAGACATGGATGTGCCATGTGTATTTATATGAGGGAGCAGGCCTGTAGAAAGGGCAAAAGGGCAATGAGGGCAACTCAGTCCCTCACTTCACTGGGGGCTACTCCCTTCTCCCAACCTCAAATTGCAGCAAAAGATTCCAAGTTGTTCTGATGACAGCTTGTGTGCTACTAAGCTGTGCCCCTTCCACTGCAGCCTATAGATCTAATATCCAAACCAAGGGAGCCCCCAGAATACCAAGGATATTGGGGCGAGGTGAGGGGTGTTCGACGAAAACCTGTTCTTACTTTGCTGAGACTGTAGAGGTCCAAGATCCGCCGTTCTACATTGGGAATCTTTAAGGAGGAGCCCTGGATTTCCCAGAATTTGGCAATCTGGTCCAAGTAGTTCAGTTTCACTCTCGTCTGGGCCTGAAGAAGAAATGGCTCAAAGAGGCTGGCCACCCCTTCCCACTGACCACTATCTTTGGGTCCAATCTTAGGGGAGGAGAAAGGAATAACGCAGTTTACACTTTTAGTACCCAGGGCTTCTCCCAATGAACCAGATCCCAGACTCTAGGCAGTGCTTGGCAATGAGGTTTCACCATATTGCCCAGGCTAGTCTCAAACTCCTAGGCTCAAGCAATCCATCCACTTCAGCCTCCCCAAGAAGTGATATCACAGGCGTGAGCCACTGCACCCAGCCACCTCTCTCTCATTTCTGTCACCTTCTAGTCAACCAGAGAAGCCCAAGGTCCCAACAGAGAGGGTCACAACTGCCAAAGGCTTCAGATACATCCTCTCTCAATCTCCCTGACAGGGTTGTGTGCGTATTATCATTTCCTGTACAGATGGGGAAACAGAGGCTCAGAGAAGTTAGGTCACACGGCAAACATCAAGATATTTTGGTGCCAAATAACTTGAGCTTTGGCTCTCCCTCTGCTACTAATTTGCTATATTGCCTTGAGCAAATCAGTTCCACTGTGGACTCCTTTTTTCTTTTATTAATAATTATAAAAGGAAAATAACTGCATAGTCCACTTAACCCAGAGGGGTAGACTTAATGAGGGACCAGTGAAGATCCTCTGGAAACTTCAGAATTATATCTAAGCTCTAGACATGTTTCAGAGAATGAAAGCTCCAAAAAGGCACATGTACCTCCTTAGGCACCACCAAACTTGTTCCATGGTAGCTGACAGGTGAAAGTGCATGCTATAACTACAGGCAGAATGGCCTAGAACTAAGAGATGGTATACCATAGTAGCACTAGCACCTGGCCAACCCAGGACCCAGTGTGGGCCAAAGAGACTAGGAACAAGATATGTATCATGCTTCCCTGAAATCTCAGTAACCCAAGGACTCCCGTAGGCCTCAAGTCTATAACCTCCTCACTCCAGAGGGCCTGGTTCTTGGAAGAACTAGACAGCCATTACCATTCACTACCTTGCCCTGATCCTATTAGGAGGAACAAAGATGGTTCTTTCCATTTCATAGTTGAGAAAAACTAAAGTCTATTTGTGGAAAGAAACAACCTCCAGTTCCTTGGCTGTGAGAACCCTCAAAGGGCCAGGAAGTACTCCCTCAACCTCGGCCCCTTAGCTTTCTAAAGTTGGCCCCATCCCTGCTCCTTCTCATTAGCCAGCACTCCGTCTGTAGGAAACCTGCCCTTGTCTCATGCTAGGCAACACCTTGCCCAAGCTGTACCCCTATAAACCTGACCAGATATATTTTTCTTTATTGAGAGGGGTCTTGCCATGTTGCCCAAGCTGGTCTTGAACTCCTGGGCTCAAGCAACCTTAGCTTCCCAAAATGTTAATAGTGCCAAGGCTGAAGCACTCTGGTCTATAACACAAGTGAGCTTCTAGGGTATAAGTATTCAGCTGGCCTGGGCCTAATCTCCCACCCCTCGGACATCTATTAAGACTTGTGGATGGCCGGGCGCGGTGGCTCACGCCTGTAATCCCAGCACTTTGGGAGGCCGAGGCGGGTGGATCACGAGGTCAAGAGATCAAGACCATCCTGGTCAACATGGTGAAACCCCGTCTCTACTA